CTTAAAGCAACCCTAACAGAGTCTTTAAGGTATGTGAAATGTTCAAGGAATAGTTTACAGTTGCTACCTCACAGTGAGTTTATATGGCCAAAAGACAAATTGAACACAGGTATCCTAAGTCCTAGTCCTAACACGGGGCAGAATTCTATTGTATAATTCTGTGCTGGCATAAACCACATTGGAGTGCTGGAAGTAATTAATTTTAAATGATGTAAAGCTTCCTATTCCCCCATTTTAGGTTCTGAAGCTCCCTGGAGCTCTTTTTTGCCTGGGGAAGCCTTTGGGAATCCTGAGAGAGGGGATGTTAAAGGTCAAAAATCGATGGCAGGGTGAATCCCAGTGATTGCAGTCTGGTGGCAGTTTTAACTTTTGATGTTGCCTGCTTCCCATCCCAAGGCTCCACAGGCTTTCCCAGGAATGGCTTATGCCAGGGACTAGATGGGGAATGTTTCCCTGTTCATTCTGCTGGATCTTTCAATGTCTTTTGATACCATCCGCCATGGTATTTTTCTGCGTTGTTTCTTTGGGATGGGACTTGAAGGCACTGTTTTGCTGTGGAAGATTGAACTCAGAAGGTGATACTAGGGAACACCTGTTCACAGGCCAAAGGCCAAGTGTCTTGGCCTTTGGCCTCTGGTGTTTCACAGGACTCTGTTTTGCCCCCTATGCTATTTTTAACATATATTTACATGAAACTTACAGAAGAACCTTTGGAATTCAGTATTACCAGTATGTAGATGATATCCAACTCCTGTCTATCTAGCAGCAAGGAAACTCTTCCAGTTCTAAACTATTGTTTAAACCAGTCTGTTTCTGGGCCGAATTCAAAGTTCTGGTTATAGCCTATAAAGCTCTATACAGCTTCGGTCCACATTATCTGATTTACCATATCGCTCTATATAGCCCTACTTGGGTCTTGAGATAATCCATGGAGGCCCTTTTCTTATTCCAGTCATCTTTATAAATAGGTTTAACGGGCGAGGACAGGTCCTTATGGTGGTTGCCCCCAGGTTATGGAATGCCTTCTGCCATGAGACTAGGCTGGCCACCTCCACACTTTTTGGTGGCAATTAAAACATTTTTATTCTAACAGGCCTTTAGTGCTTGATATCTGAATTTAAAATAGCTGATTGCTCTACACTCACTGCAAACATATCCTCTTTACTGTATTTTAAATGCTTTTATATTATTAAATTTGTTTTTATATGACAATTTTAAATGTTACCTTGTTTAATAATTTCTAAATTGTTTCTGTATGTTTTTAAATCTTGTCTTTTTAAATGATTTGTGAGCTCCCTTGAGTCCCACTGCTTTGAAAAAGGAGGCATAAACATGCAATAAATAAATACATTCAGAAGGCAGTTATGCAGAAATAATATGGACTATTTAGCCATTGCACTTGATAAGTTTTCATCTGTTAATTGGTTAGCTGAAGTGGACCACTTAAATCATCAATCTTGTGCTGCCTCTCTAGGTAGCACATTTACCTAGTGGCATAGTAGATGAAAACAAAGTTTTTAAAAACATAGATTTTACTATTTAATTCAGATTTAAGAGGGTGTTTTTTTAAAAAAAAAAGGACCAAGTTTGCCTTAAATAATAGCCAAATAAATATTAGATTTAGATATTAGCATGCTTGGCCTAAAGTGTATGTGTAAACCAAATTATTGCCTCTACCAGTTACAATAAGTTGAAGCAGAGATTTCCATGTAAACTAAGGACCAATCTGATCATTTCTCAGATATTTATATTTACAATGCAGCTGCCAAAGAATTTCATTTTGGGGATTTCATTTTCATCTATGAAGGGAAAATGTCAAGACTTTTTCATTTTTCTTTTATGATAATTGGGCTGACTCAAGAAAAAGTGAAGGAGAAAGGAGAAGAAAGAAAAGAAGACAGAATTGTCCACTGTGTGCAGACTTACCTAACAAACTGCCATGGTTACTGCTTCTGGGAAATACCTTGTATGGGAATATTTTAAAGATATACCTTCTATGTACAAAAAAGAAAGTGCACAGAATGGATACAGAGCAACAGAGATTGTAAGACTGATGCAGTATAATTACCTCCAATTTGTGAATGTGCTTGGTGGCCAAATTTGCATCATTGTGCCAGCCTACTTGGTAGAGCGTCCTGTTGATCTTGGGTTTCTGAGTAAACATAGATCACACTGGCTTATAAATATGGCATGTAACTATTGGACATTCATCCTTCTTGGCATTTAGTCTACTGATAGAGCTTGAAACAACAGCTTTAAATTTTCTGGAGCATTTTGGACAAATGCACTCAATATACTCCTAATGTACAGTTTGAGTTTGCTGTTTAGCTTTAAAAGCAGAACTAGGTAATTATGTGAAGTGTTAATAGCATAATGGCTAAAATCATCTTGTGTAGCTATGCAAATTGCACATGTTTTGGGAGCAAATTTTCCCAAGTTAAGAAACTACTGTAGATATTCTCAGTTGCATGCTGTGTTATACAGCTCAGTATGCAGCTGATAATGTCTATGGTGATTTCTTAACTTGGGCAATTTGCCATGATTTGGGCTACTTTTTATTAATCTAAAGTTTATGTAGGAGTTCATTGGATCAAATCCTGCATTGCAAAGACATTGTACAAGGCCTGGAAAGTCAACATGACAGGCCCTTCCAAAATAGGATCCTGTAGAGAACCGTCGGAACTAAAAGCTTCAGTACAATAATTGGTTTGTTCTATAATAGGAGGAATAATGGAGTTGAGTCAGGGGTCCCAAGGAGCCCAGGAAGACCAAATGTTCTGTCGTTCTCTTAGCAAGCAATAAGTTCTACCAGTCCTGAGAATTTCAGTACTCTGGGGATTGCAATCTGATTCTGTTCATATTGATAATTTTTAAAGGTCTGGAGAACTACTGGAGAACCTTGAGATGCTCCTACAGTTTCTCTAGTCCTCTTAACATAGCTTGTATTCATGAGACATGATAGAGCCAAGTATTGTGTTCAAGAAAGCAGATGTTGCTTTGCCATGGGGCCTTCAAGGATTTTGGTGGGTTTGTAGCTGCAGTGCTCCCTGTGCCTAGTTTCAGTGTTGCAATCATGTACAGTACAGTAGTATCTTCTTAGTCCTATAAGAACTCTTCCACTATTCCAGGTCCTTTTTCTAAGCTTATCTTAATTATGATTGAACATGATACTGCTGATACTTGTGAGTCACTGATACATTAAGGAACAGGTGATGCTGCTGTGCTTCACTTCCTTGTTATGCCCTATCTTAGCTTGAACTAGTCTTTGGCCCAGAATGTCCTCAATTGAAATTGGTTGCTTCTGCCTCTTTATCTACCTTCAAGCTGGAAGGAAACAGCAAGTGAATTAGATAAGAGTCCCAAGCTGGATCACAGTGATCTGAATTATTGAGTAGGATAATCAGTTTGAAGGGCCTGGTCATAGTGACAGGCATTTGGTTAGAAACCTTCAATGCTTGAGTAGGATAATCAGTTTGAAGGGCCTGGACATAGAGACAGGCATTTGGTTAGAAACCTTTGTGTCATACTTTAACATAACATTTGTTTCCTTGTTTTGAAATGTTTCTCTAATATGTGATAACTACACTTGCTTGACATTTTATGTAATATATAAGAAATTTAGTTCTTGGCATAGAATTGTCATTTTTTAAACACAGAGCGTATCAAGCTTTGTGTTTAACTGCTCACTAGAGATTGTGTCAAGATTTTTTTTTTCGGTTACACACATCCCAGCTCATTTCATCTTGTAGTTGATGCAAGTTGAATCATATTATATTTAGTATGTTATCTACTCTCTTTGAGTTGTAAGTAAAAAGTCCTTCCAACACTGAATAGGTACCACTGATGAATCAAATTTCCTTTCCCCGTAGCAGCTCCTTTCCCCCATATCCAAAATGGGTGTAGAGGTGGGGTGTGTCTCCAGAACAGATTATGGGAAGGTAAAGAGGAGGAGAAGGGAAGTGTCATGTGAACAAGCATAATATGTTTCGTGCCTTTCATTTTTTGTTGTGTTTTTAGCTGTTTGTCTTTTAAATGATTTGTAAACCATCTTGAGTCTTTATTGGAATTAAGGTGAGGTGCCCTGTTTCCCCGAAAATAAGACCTAACCTGAGAATAAGCCCTAGTATGATTTTTCAGGATGCTTGTAATATAAGCCCTATCCCAAAAATAAGCCCTAGTTAAGTGTCTCCTAAAAATAAGCCCTACTGCATTTTTGGACCAAAAGTTAATATGAGACCCTGTCTTATTTTTGGGAAAACACAATAGAAGTAACTGAATGAGTTAACTGAAGTACTGTCATATAATACTGTATTTAGACCATGATCTGATTTCGCTTTTATAAGCCACATTTAGTCCATCTTTAAGGGAGGAATATAAAATATAAATTAATACAAATTAAAAATAATTGTTGAGCACTAATGAGTAACAGAGAGATAGAATGTTAAGTTGCAAGACTTTTCTTAGATGGGCTCTGCCTTAAATCCCTCAGTAGAAGGTTTTTATACCACATCTCAGTTTTTGCCAGAAGCCCCAGGCTTCTGCAAACTGAATAAGAAATTTAGATGTGTCAGCTTAGAATAATTTTACTGTTCATATGATTCAAGGCTTTCTAGATAGTGCAGCACAAGGTAGATTTAGTCGCCATATAGTGTTCAACTTATTATAAATCAATCTAAATCCTTCTCAAACATTAGAATCAGATGGATTGAGCCGTTGTACACCAACCACTTATATAGCTGCTGTTCTGTCCTTGAAAAATCAGCAGGTGGCGTCCTTGGTCTAACAAAATTTATTCTTTGAATGAAGCATGTATCTTTTATGTTTTGGAAATACAGAAAGAATCCAGTAGGTGGCACTGTAATAGTTGCTACAAATTAGTATATTTAAGATTGTGGTTTCCTTCCTGGTGTATGTTTGCTTCTGTTTGACTACACCTGCCTTTTAGCCTCGAAAATGAGCTCCATTTGAATTGTACCTCTTTATCCCATCCATCCATTCAGTGTGTTTCCTGTAATAAATCATTCAAGAAGCTATGGTCCCTTCATGAGCATATCAAGATTGTCCATGGATATGCAGAGAAAAAATTCTCCTGTGAAATATGTGAGAAGAAGTTCTACACCATGGCCCACGTGCGAAAGCACATGGTTGGTGAGTTTTTGCTGTTTGTATTTACACAACATTGCTTCCTTGCCTCTCAACTACTGTACTTGATTTTGAGATTATCTCGAGTTCTTTCCTGTTAGTTGGAAGTGCCTACTGCATTATAAATAAAGCAGTGTTCTTTGCAAGCTTCCTCTCCAATACTGTACCCTTACTCATTCCTACCAGCAAGTAAAATTTGGGTAGGTAGTTCTAGGTAGGTAATTGCAGCCAAAGCACAAAAGGAGGAGGAGATCCACATAAGCAGAATGGCCATGTTAGGGAGAGGTGGAGGATCAGATCTTGGCATCTCAGTGGGACATTTCTAAAACTAGGCTGCCATTTGTTAGCTTTATAAAATCTACCCAATGCAAGAGTACTTACGGCCTTGATGTATTTAAGCTATAAACCCTGCTTGAGAGGAGATAGGCAGTGCTCCAGTCTGCATGTGCCCAAGAGCGAGCCTGTCTTGCTTCAGCTTTATATTCTTTCCTGGCTGTAAAATGACATTTATTATCAAATACATGTTATTGCAGCATGTTTAGAGTAACAGCAGTTCATTACCTCTGTGCCAAGTGTCTAGGCACAGACACACATCAATAAGAATCATAACACAGATAATGGGTTTATAGATTGTGGTCAATATGCAGAAAGGTGTCGTTGTTTTATTTTAAGTGGGGAAGAGGGGGTTAAAATAAAAGAAGGTGATGCTCACCTTGCTTGGTTGGACCCCTTTATTTAAGATACTATTTTTGCCTGGATGGAGCCATTGATTTGACTCCGTGAGATCATCAAGAAGTCTAAGGGTAGAATGTTAAGAGCAAAAGGCTGTGGTTAAAGGGTGCTTTTGTCTTTAATGGTAAAGAATCTAGTTAGGTTGCCTTTCTACTCCTAGATTAAGGGGCAAAAGAGGTATTTCACATTGTTGGATTTCTAGCCATTGTCTTTAAAAAATTTCTGTTGTAAGCTTATTTTGTCAAATTAACCATTGCTGTATAGCAGAATTGGTTAACCTTTGGCTCTTCAAGTAAAGAGAGAGCTGGTCATGCCTCACCTTTGACCATGGAGTCCAGTGATCTTTGGAGGACCATGAGATCCTCTTTGATATATTTTTTATTTTAGCCTGATTTTATTACGATAGTGTTTTATTTTCTTTTGTTTATATTGTAATGGCATATTTTTTTTTCTAATTGTAAACCTGCCTGGAAACTGTTTTGGCTGGAGAGTGCATACAGATATTTGTGAAATGAAATAAAGATGTCAGTGGTATTAGAATTTAATGGAAGAACTTACCTGATTTTAAAATTGGACTAGGTGACTGCCAGACCTTTTTCAAACTTTTTTTTTGAGTCATCACAAGAAGGTAAAAAATGCCAGCTATTTTCTTGTACATGCTTAAATGGAGCTTAAGATAATGTATTGCATTGGTGATTATATAAATGAAATTACCTGTTCTTATGAAGAGATAAACTTCTTCCTAATCTGAAATTTCAGCACATACTAAGGACATGCCATTTACATGTGAAACCTGTGGAAAATCCTTCAAACGCAGTATGTCACTGAAAGTTCATTCCCTGCAGCATTCTGGAGAAAAGCCTTTCCGGTGTGAGGTATGAGCTCTTCTAATTGAGTGTGAAATGAACATTACTTATAGATTGCAGAACAGGAATATAGTGGTGAATGAACCAGTGCCATATCTGGCCAAGACCTACAGTACTTAGTCCAGCATTCTATTCCCACTATGTTCAACTGAGATTTAAGTCCAGGACAATACCACATCATATTTGAGATCACCGTTTCAGCTCATAGTGACTTCTTAAACTCTAAGATCAACTATACCAGATCACTGCAGTTGATCAAAACTGAGAAGAAGTGGGGCACTGTAAAGTACATCTTGCTGCATAGAATGCTGCTACAGTTAATTGGTTCTTAACTGTATCACACCCTGTGTGCCATAGTAATTCAGACAACACCATCATGCAGCACATTTTCATTGTGTGTTTTATTGTAGACAGCAACTTAGAATAAAATCTTATTTTGAGTGCAAAAAGAACGAAAAAGACACTGCATTTTATTGGAATGTGATACACGCACGCCATTTTTAAATCTCCAGAAATGAATGAGGATCCATGCAAAAAAATAAGCAAAATGTTATTCTCACCCCAATCTGCATATAATAGTTAATCTTGTATATGCAAAATGTACTTCAGTGTTACAAATTACTTTGAATTTTGATTTCTACTAAAAGCTTAAATCGTGTTTGTCTGAAATAGAATAAAATATTTATTGTTTTCTATTCTCTGTTCAAACATTTGAGTTTTTCTCAATGGTGTGTTGAGGAATAATCAGTAATTCAGGTATATTACTATTGTACTTTATTTTTGCCAAGACAGAAATAGAAAAAAAAGGTTTTATATACTGTACTTTGCGTTTCTTGATTTGATACAGTATAGCAGCTGTCACCAGAGCCAATAAGTACTGATGACAATTTCATTTCCATTTTTTTCTTTGTTATTTTAATTGTTTTATGATATATACTTTGCCTTGACACCTTGGATAGTACAGCAAAGTATAAATATATTGGCCAGAATCCTATTGCCGTATTTTCCTATGTAGAAAACAACACTTTTTCCTAAAATAATTGAAGGAAAAATTGAGGGTCGTTTTATAATCAGAAGTAAGGGGGGGAGGGATCAAAGTGCTTTCATCCTTGTTTCCCTCTCCACATTTTGCAAAGAAAATGGAGGGGAAAAGCGATTTCTGCTTTCTCCCTACATTTTTGTTGCAAAAAGAAGCTTTCTGCCTCCAGGTTTTGCAAAGAAAATGCAGGGGAGAAGTGATTTCTGCTTTTTCCCTACATTTTTGTTGCAAAAAGCGACTTTCTACCTCCAGGTTTTGCAAAGAAAATGTGGGGGGAAAGTGTTTTCTGCTTTCTCCCTACATTTTTGTTGCAAAAACTAGCTTCCCCCCTGCATTTTCTTTGCAAAAGTGGGGGCGGGGTGTTTTATACACGGAAAAATATGGTAGTATGCCTGCTGGCATAATGCCTATAGCATCACTTTCAGAGGTGAATTGCCAGTAAGAAACAGATAGGCATTTCTTATCACACACCGATTGTGTGACTCAGTAAAATTGGAAATGCCTATTCTGACTTTTTGACTTGCAGCCATTTGCCAGTGAAAGTTATGATATTTACATTATGTCAACAGAAATATACAGTAGGATTCTGGCTATTGGCACAAAAATAATATTCTCCATCCCAGTACTATCAAAGAAGCCTCTTCTACACTGTAGCATTTTTACTTTGGTTTCTGCAAATGAAAGATCTGCTCCTCGCTGTTTTTTATAGAACTGTGATGAAAGGTTTCAGTACAAATACCAGCTCCGTTCCCACATGAGCATCCACATTGGACACAAGCAGTTTATGTGCCAGTGGTGTGGTAAAGACTTCAACATGAAACAGTACTTTGACGAGCACATGAAAACCCACACTGGTAAGGATGTAATTCCCCCCCCCTTTTTTTAAATCATTCATCAAAATTAAAAGGAGACTAGAGCTCATAATATTACATTTTAAATGGGACTTGTTGAATTGCCCATTTCCTTTTGCCACCAGATTGCCATTATCATTATAATTGCTCTGATTTTTAAATTAATTTGTTGGGTCTTTTTTTGCTAATTGACCAGAAAAATATGGGTAAATAGTCCTGGATTCCCTCTAATGGGTGATTCAGATACTGCACCTTGGAAATATTTACAAAAGGCAAAGAATAATTCCCTTGTTTTGGACCCATGCTGTTATAATGGATTTTTAAATTATAATTATTAAAATATACTTCTAGGGTTTGCATGAATCCTAAAAAATTCCTGTTGAAGTAACTCTAAAATGTATTAAAACATTCTTGAAAGTGACGTTTGAAAGTTATTGGGAACGCTTCATTACATGAAGTAACTCAGGTCTTTATGACTGCTACTTGCAATATTCATCACCGAACAGGAACTAGTCACAGGTAACTACATAGCTTGTAACTAAGTATGGGCTGCACTTATTTGATCAACAGAAAATAGTTCAGATTTAGTCTCTCAAAATGTAATTCTTTTCCTTAAAAAAAATAAAATGTTGTTTATAAATCAGAAGAAATTGTTGATAGGCAGGAAAGGGAAGTCAGACTAAACAATAATTGAATATGATGAAATGGGATTCTTCTTTGTGGTCTCTGTGATTCACCCATCTGGGTTCTTCTATGTCTGCGCAGACACTCTTCAGGAGAAGAGTTGTTGGCACAGTGCAGATGCTCTGCCAGAAACTTTCGGAACAAGGGGCAGCATTAGTGAGATACTATTCTTTGAAAGCAGGAAGAGAGTGGGAAGGTGTCAGTGTTGTGGAAAATTTTAAACAAAAGTTTTGCAGGATGCAGAGAAGTACACAAAAACATTTTAACATTTGGTAAGAAGAATGCATACCTTTTGTAATAGAAGCAGTTGAGTACAAGATAGACGTGGGAAGACTCGGGTGGGAAAAGAAAAGGCAAGAGAGAAGGTTGCAGTAACAAAGGCAGGAGATGACGGAAGCCAGGCTTTTGGAAGCTCTCAGCAATATTAGGGAAAGCCTCTTTTTTTGAGATCTTGGAGAGTTGCTGTCATTCAGAATATGCAATACTCGATTAGATGGTCTTGACTAATTTTTGAGGTATTGGGTACAGAAAGTTGAAGCCAGGTGACAGTACAACTCTGTCATCTTGAAGCGAGATCAAGAAAGCAAGAATGGAAAAGACAATCCAAAGTTGAGAAATAACATCAGTAAGACAAATATGATTGGCTAGTTAGGTTGCAGAATAAACAAAAGAAAGACTTCTTGTAAAATGGTTCGGTACTGAATAGGATGAGTAATACTGGATTACAGTGGTGCCTCGCTTAACGATTACCTCGTTTAGCGATGAATTCGCATAACGATGTGTTTTTTTAGAAAATAATATGCCCCGTATAACGATGTTTCCTATGGGCGATTTTCGCTTAGCGAAGTTTGGGACCATGCGTATATAGAAAATAGGAACTCGAAGCATATAGACTCAAAATTTTGTTAAAGTACCATAGTGTAATGATAATCTCAACAAATGAGACTAAAAGTAGGGAGGAAAGGATTTATAGATGTATGGAAGGGAAAAGGGTAAGAAGAGATTGTGTAGATGGCTCCAGTTTTATACTGATTGCTATGGAAGAGAGAGGCATAGCCTAGGGTCTCTAAAGTAGAGAAGCATTGTGGATTTGTAGATATATAAATCAAAGTACTATGATAGTGCTGCTTTGCAAAGGGGATAATAGATCAGATACTGTCATTTGTGTGCTTTTTTGTGAGGGAAAAAGAGATAAATTGTGTTTTCATTCCAATATTTATTTATTTATTTATTTATTTATTTATTTATTGATTGATTGATTGATTGATTGATTGATTGATTGCATTTATATGCCGCCCATCTAGACATAGTCTACTCTTGTTTATGCCTTTTAAGGAGCATGTAGGGCAATTTTACTATGTTTTGAGGGGAACCCATTAGCCCTGGGGCCCCTTACCCCAGTCCTTTTTTATTTGGCCAACTAGATAGCATGATGGAGCCTTTCAGTCTAAAATTGTTTTAGTTAAACCCATTTTTTTCAGTTAATGAACTCTTTGTAACAATTTTTATAGTACAGAACCACTGCCTTTTGAAAATTAAAAATAGTAAAGAGAGGAAAAGAAGGCAGATTGCCCTTTTGACTATGTTGATATACCTTTACCCCAGTCTTTTCAGGAATGTGGCCCTTGGACTGCCAGCAGATCTGAAAAGTGTCCCTCAATCTTGCTGAGATTGCTCACCCTTGCTCTGTATACAGTATTAGATACCACACAATTTAGTCTCTGAAAGCTTTTTCATTGTAGGTCTGTGTTCAGTTTTTCTCTTTAAAATGATTGATAGATTGATTGATTGCATTTATATGCCGCCCATCTAGACATGGTCTACTCTTGTTTATGCCTTTTAAGGAGCATGTAGGGCAATTTTACTATGTTTTGAGGGGAACCCATTAGCCCTGGGGCCCCTTACCCCAGTCCTTTTTTATTTGGCCAACTAGATAGCATGATGGAGCCTTTCAGTCTAAAATTGTTTTAGTTAAACCCATTTTTTTCAGTTAATGAACTCTTTGTAACAATTTTTATAGTACAGAACCACTGCCTTTTGAAAATTAAAAATAGTAAAGAGAGGAAAAGAAGGCAGATTGCCCTTTTGACTATGTTGATATACCTTTACCCCAGTCTTTTCAGGAATGTGGCCCTTGGACTGCCAGCAGATCTGAAAAGTGTCCCTCAATCTTGCTGAGATTGCTCACCCTTGCTCTGTATACAGTATTAGATACCACACAATTTAGTCTCTGAAAGCTTTTTCATTGTAGGCCTGTGTTCAGTTTTTCTCTTTAAAACTATATAAATTAAAATCTTGATTGAAGTAATCTTAACATATTGAAAAAGGATGTCAGATGATTTTCATTTTTAATTTTTAACAGGAGAAAAGCCTTTTATCTGTGAAATCTGTGGCAAGAGTTTCACCAGTCGCCCGAACATGAAGAGACACCGCAGAACACACACAGGAGAGAAGCCATATCCATGCGATGTATGCGGCCAGCGATTCCGCTTTTCCAACATGCTAAAGGCCCACAAGGAGAAGTGCTTCCGTGTTACCAGTCCTGTCAACGTGCCACCTGCTGTCCAGCTCCCACTTGCCACCACTTCTCCTGCTCCCACAGTACCTTCCATTGTGAATACTTCAAATGCCCCTGCTCCTCCTCTGCCGGTCAATATGAACCCTGTGAGCACGCTTCCTCCCCGGCCCATTGGCCATCCGTATTCTCACCTGCACCTCCATTCAAACCATCCACATCACCTCCCTGTCCCTGTTCCCCCTGTCCCACATTTACCTCCACCTCCTGCTCTGTTTAAGAGTGAGCCTTTAAATCATAGGGGCCAAGGTGAGGACAGCTTTCTGCGACACCTGGCAGAAAAGAACAGTTCTGTACAGCACCACTAACTTGTTTCTCTTCTGCCTGCTATTCTCTTGGTCTTGTGAACAGGGAAGTGTGCTCTGCCTGCCCATCAAGAAATCTTATGGCGTCCTTTGCAGCCCCAAGAGAAAGAAGTTTGCATTAATCTTAACTGTTCAGCAAAAGAGGTTATCAGACCCAGCGAACTGATAGGACTGAAGCCTCCTTGGCTTGCACGTTTTATTGTTCACTTTTATAGATTTCAAAATGACTGAGACTTGTGGAATTTTTTATAATTTCATATCAGCTGATGAGGTATGCTTGCTTTTATATCCTGGACTTTCTCCTCAAAGAGGGGAGGGGCCTGGTTTCCTTTGTACTAATCAGAAAGACTGTGAGACTAAATCCCAGAGCATTAATTATCACTGTGTACCATTAATTTCTTTTCAGCTTTTGTTTGTCTATGTGTGTGTGTGAGTGTGTATGCAGGTGTGTGTGGTTGGATGAGTGTGCTGGAGTGAGCCAGCCACATGATTGCAGAATATGATGCATTATAGCAAACAGTAAAAAAACAACTTAATCTCATTTGAGTAGTTCTCCTAACACACTCTTTATTTTAATACAGAAAAAATTATTTTAGAGTTTTTGTATAGACCTATTTAGTAGCCTGTTTCTAAAATGAAATGTATTTCAAATAAGCGGTGTAATTTTTTTCAGTGTAGCTGGACCTATGTTGTTATAATAGATAATTTTTTATAATCATTCAAATTGTGATTCTTTAAGGAAAAAACATGAATAGTAAAAAAAATTAATCCTATATCTGTACAACTCTAAAAAGGTGCTTTGAAGGGGAGAGAAACAAAGTCAAGAAGTCTCTGGTAAGGCTGCCTCAGAAGTGGAGATAATTTCAGAATTTTATATAACTTATTTGTAGCGGGGCGGGGGACGTAACAGTGTCTTTCAGTGTCACTCGGGGGGTCATTAGGTAAGTAACATTAAACTGCTGTATTTCCACAAACAGTTTTCACTTGGCTCTGCTGGGCTGAAGTGTGAAATGTTTCAGAAAGTGTATACTCTAGTGCAGTGGTTCCCAATATTCTGGGACTAAAATTCCTAGAAGCCTTCACACTAATTGTGCTGGCCAGGATTTCTAGGAGATGTAGTCCAAGAATATCTGAGTACCCAAGGTTGGGAAGCATTTCTCTAGTGTATGAAAAATCTGGAAACTTGCAAGAGAGAGCAAGAGAGACCTAACCCCAAGTGGCATATTCAGATTAATATGCTGTCATTTCTTTGGCATATTCTAGGACCTAGATCATTATATAGAAGTGTGTATAAGGTATGATTTAATTTGGGAATCATATTTGGTGCTGCTTGTTTTTCTTGAGTTCATTGGGTAATAAATAGGGAATCACAAATAGGATGTTGTTTGGCTGGAATTATAAAAAATGAAAATAAACCTGAATGTGGGGGCTCTGGTGGGAAAAGTGTCATGTTGCCTGAAAAAATGTTTATCTCAGAGCATGTGCACACACTGAAGCTGTGTCCTGTATAGAGAATAATCCTTATAATATGGTATTAGGATAGCTTTCAGTTTGACTTCAGGTTTCACAGGTAAATGGAAAAGAGATGTTTGAATGTTGAGCAAGTTATTTGTTGTGTTTTCTCAGTCTCCAGTGGCACTAAGTTGTGGCGAACTAGTTAGAATGCAGAGAGCTACAGTTCTTATTCAGAAGTAATTAATGGAAATTGAAATACAGCACCGTTTAAGCAGCTGAAAAAGCTGTTGGCACCTTGAGGAGGAGGCAGAGATATCCTTATGGTTAGCGAGATTAAATTTTCTTGAACTGAATTCCACCACCCAAAGACCACCATGCTTATCTTTAGCATGTCATTCTCATTTTAAAGGACTAAGTACATGGTATATCTATTTCAAGGAGGGATATTATATCAGAAAAATGGAAAGCCCTCATCATTGAAACTCTGAGGTTGATTATATGTCTAACAACAGTTAACGTTGCAAAAAAGTAGTTTTGAGCCTTTTTGATATCTGTTCATATGTGAATGAAAACGTCTTTAACACCACTCTTTTTCTCTTTTTTTAAAAGGATAAGTATTTTAAAACATAACATTTATCTGTTCCTTCTCTTTTGTAGGTAGTAAAGCTAGCTATAAAAGTGAATCATTAATGCTTAACGGTTCGCCATCTTGTACTACTCTGGATGGTTTCATACATTCCATGTCATGTTCTCAAACCCACAATTTTGTGTAGACATTCTGCAGGCCAACAAACTGGCTTGTTAAAAATCTACTTTTATAAATTTAAATAAGAAACATCTTGGTAAACCAGTTGTAATCCAGTTTTCGCAAAAATGTTTTTTTCAATAAATTTACAGTATTTGGCTGCTATTTATGAATCCTACTACTCGAGATGGTTGTGTTTGTGTCTCCCCTGAAAATGTTGGCCAGGTGCAGTTTATAATTCCTCTTACTTCCAGGAATATATTTGCATATCTTATTCTGCAGTAATGAAACTTTCTACTGTGGAAGTGACACCCATCTTCAGCAAATATTGCTCACTGTAATGTCTCATGTTACAGAGCTGAAAGCCCTATTAGGTGTTCAAAAAAGGGTTTATCTGAAAGTGAAAGTAAGGAACGTTGAGCTAAAAAAGGTCCCACCCCCTGCCTATGACTGCCTTTGTGTTAAGGAGAGCAGCTTGAAGAGGCACATAGAGTTTCTCCACCCGATCAGGAATCTTGATTTTCCAGAATCTCAAGGATAAGGGTAAGTGAACCATGTGTAACAGAACCATTTCGTATGATCCCTCTCCCCATAAAGACAGTGGAAGGCAAGGGATGGGTCTAAAACTCTTTTCCCATTCATGCTTTCTGAGTACTGTAACCCTGTTTTGAACACCTGGATAGGGCTGCAGTTGTCCATGATTCCACTGTTTTATCATTCTGTTCAGCACTATTGTCCTAATACAATGATTCCAGAATAGTCACACATCTGTATGTTTAGATTTGGGTTACCATTTGCATTGAGTGGCTTGCACTGGACATATTCATGCCAGACACATCCCAACACTGAAAAGGGTGAGGCAGTCACTCGTGGCATTACGCCATATGTGTCCACAGTAGAAACATTGCATACTTCATCTGTGGTTTACTGATAGTTGCATCAATACATGGATTTTAATCCATTCAACTTTGGAAACATTCTGTCAGCTTCTTTTAAAAAGTGTTTGGTATGCTTGTGTAACTGTGTGTCTTTGCCCAGGAAGTGACATCAGCATAAATCAGATCCATGAAAAATGCCTGATAGTTGTACCAGTGCATTGAGAAAGCTGCAGAAGAATCCAATTTGCTATATTTTTGAATTATTTTCAAAAAACAATGAAAGGCAAATTTCCTAAAAGTTGCATCCATTCTCTTATTTAGTTATCTAAAACATTTTACCCTCCTTTCTCTTTAAAAAGGACCCAAGAAAGTTTGCATCATTAAAAGGTAATCTTTAAAGCTAAAAAGAATAAGTATACAAATACTAAAAAGGATCGACCCACACTAAAAATGGTAAACAAAAGTACCATTCAAAGCAGTGAGGCACAACAATCCATTTGAAAATCCTACCCAGGAAGCCAGTCGCTAAGGGAAAGCTTGCCTGAAGGATAACAAAGATGGGGTCAGTCTGGCCTCCTGTGGGATGGAGTTCCAAAGTCTTGGAGCAGCAACAGAGAAGGCTCTTTCCTTTGTCCACATCAGACGCACCTGTAAAAGTAGTAGGACCAAGAGAAAGGCCTCTCCTGATGATCTTAGCACCTGAACAGGCTCATAATGGTAGACACGGTCCCTGGGATAGCTTGGACCCAAGCCATTTATGGCTTTATAGATTAGAACTAGCACTTTGAATTGCACTCAGAAACGGATTGCAGCCAGTGGAGTTGCCGTAACGGTTATGTGATCCCTGCGATCAACTCCAATTAGCAGTCTGGCTGCTGTGTTTTGGACCTGCTGAAGCTTCTGAACACTTTCCATGGGCAGACCCATGTAGAGCATATTACAGTACTCCAGCTGAGATGTAACTAAGGCATTTGTCACTGTGGCCAGATGAGCCCTCTCAAATCAAATCAAATCAATTTATTGTTGTTGTTAGTATATACAGTGGTGCCTCGCTTAACGAGCGCACCGTATAACGACGAAATCGCATAGCGATGCGGTTTCCGCGATCGCTAATGCGATCGCTTACCGATGGCCCCAATGGGCGAAACTCGCATAGCGAAGGTCGGTAAGCGTTTCACTTACCGACCTTCGCTTTGCGCCCCGCGGATCAGCTGTTCGGCGGGTCCAAAATGGCCGCCAGAACAGCCGAAATGGCTGCACGCAGCGTTTTCGCGCCCTCCCCTCGCTTACCGAGGGCGCGCAAATGGTTGCCGGCTATGGGAAGACTTCGCTAAACGGTGAGTTTTCAGCCGATTTGGAACCAATGGCTTATTACTTTCCGTTTAACGAAGTTTTCACATAGCGAAGGTTAATCCGGAACGGATTAACCTCGCTATGCGAGGCACCACTGTACATAGTATACCCATACAATGAAATTCACACAGACACCCAGAGACTAGACCCACATACACACACATAAAAAATCCCCAAACACTCCCCACCCACTAAAATCCCTCACTAGGAATACAAACATCTATGCCACAGGCTAAGTAACACTGACCAACTATTCACTACTGGTGGTCTTTAAGCTCATGATTATGTGCAATTATAGCTCAAGGAACATCCCCCGTTTTACTGTCATGTTGCCTGTTGTAACAGAAGCAAAAACTTTCAATCTCTTTTGAGTTAAAAATTTCCTATAGTTTCAGAAATCTCAAAAGGCACTAATAGTTTCCTAGTGTTGCTATGTGGCCAGTATTGAGATCAGTTCCTTTGCTGATAAACATTCCTATAAAAGTTTTTTTATTATATATGATCAACAAAAGGGTTTTAATTATTTACTTACCAAAATCTTATGAAATGATGAATGGGAAAACAAATACTATATAGGAACCTTCATTACATAAGCTAAAAAAACACAAAACCACAATAATACTATAGACATAATATTGTGAAATGTGTTTCACAATTTTCAAAACAAGTTTTCCATCAACTGTAAATTGACATATGTAAATTTTTGAATGAGCTCTTGGGAGCATAAGTCTGCTTGTACACTTAGGTTTCAGAGTGGCAGCAAGTAGCACCCTAGTAAACCTGAAGAACAGATTGGAGAGGTAAGTTGACAGTGGCACATTATAGTTACGTCCATGTGTTGCAAGGAAAAAATGGATCATGTTTGTATTTAAAAAATAAAAACATGCCAGTGTTGGTTTCCTATTTGTATATATACAGTTTGGCACAACCACTGCAACTCTTGCACATTGGCTGGTGCTCCAAACAGATTTGCAAAATTAGAAAATTGAGAGGTTGCTTGTTATAGAACAGTCTCAGACTGTGTTCTTTTCTAACATGAAACCTCTTTGCTTTGGCAGCTCCACTGCAGATTCATGAATAAAAACTTGGTTGTTTCTTTCCTGTAATTCATATTTCTGTGCATCCATTTGTATACATAATCTTGCAAAAAAAAAGTTGGGGAAGGGAAAGCATAATCTCAGTCATTTCCAAAATAGAAAAATCTTCCTTGTGCTAACATTGGACTGTGTTTCCCCCTCTCATATTCTATAGCATCTCTTTTTTCACAAGTTTTTCTTCTGGAAGAAGGGTCTTGCATAAAGGAACTGAATCTGAGATACAGTCATTTGCCCCAATGATAACTGCAACTTGCATTGGAGCAATGGGAGGAACATCTTAAACACCCCCCTCCGAAGTTACCCATTTCCATAGCAGGAACCTCCAGCTTACTTTTATCGTTCTTCTCCAATAGCTAAATTGACTAGAATAGCTAAATTAAAGAACCTAGATCAAGGTACTTTGTCCAGTCAGAGTTGTCCTGTGCCACATCTGCTAGAATCCTCTTGGGGATTTATGCCAGCAGAAATGTGATCCATACCAATGCCACTAATTAATGGGTTTCCACTTGTATTCCTCATTCCATGCCAGTTACCTAACTTGACATATGATTGGCAACTTACTATTTAGCAGCAGCTTCTCTCAGTGTTCTAGCCAGAATATTGCAAATAATATGAACGTTCAAATTTTAAAATGGAAATAATTTTCATCAAATTATAAGAATCATGCTAATTTGATAATGTGCATTAACTTCTAGTACTATTTGGTGTGAGATTTAGATAGTCTTGATCACAGCTAGGATATATTTTTAGGGAGCTAATCCATCCCACCAAATAATTGTTTACTGAGGACCAGTTCCCTTAAATTGCCTCCATCAAAATGTAGCTGACCTGGAGAGCTGCTGATGTTGCCAGGAGCGGTCCTTGTTTTGTCGTGTCTGCAATAACCAAAATAAATTTATTTAATGTTAAAAACAGAGGCTCTTGATAGTTCTTGAAGTTCAGCCAACACAGCAGTTTCAAGTCAATGTAAAATTCTTGGCCTTTATTAGAGCAGCTGACTCCCCATATGAAGGCTCTTTCTCTTTAGTTTTCTTGTAGAATGTGTCATGTAAACTAACTAGGACACAAAGTAATGTGCTTTTGACTATTGTACTGCAAGAAGATGCAAGGTTGGGTCACAGGAAACAGTTGAGAACAGATAAGATACCTCTTTTTACAATTGTACCTTTTGACCACAGTTTTCTCACTAGTTTTGTATACATTAAAATATCCAATTACATTACAGTTACGTCCTTGCTTTCTGTCACATAACATACAGACAATTGCATTAGCTAGGCTTCAGAAAAACAAATTATCTTCCTAAAAGTTAAATTGTGGTTGCATATTTTTGTCTTGTTCCTTGAACTTTAAATATATATGACAGAAAACAGTATCTGTAACTGAAGGATTATTTTACAACTGCACATAATCTGAAATGCAAATAACCTTGATAGTTTATCACTTCGGAATGAAGTAATGATAACCAGCTGAGGCCCTGGGGCACTCAGGCTTATGCCTTCATTCTGCTTCTGGCACTTTGTAGTCAAAATTATCATGGGAGTGGAGTTGTTTTTACTTACACCGAACCCCCCCCACACACACACACACACCATTTTTTTAAAAAAACCCACCATTTTGGTTCATGAAGTCTCCTTTTACTGTCTAGAGTGCCTTCATTCTGCTTCTGGCACTTTGTAGTCAAAATTATCATGGGAGTGGAGTTGTTTTTACTTACACCGAACCCCCCCACACACACGCACCATTTTTTAAAATAAAAACCCACCATTTTGGTTCATAAAGTCTCCTTTTAGAACTTTGGGAGGCCATCTAAGAATATCTGGAGGCCCAAGGTTGGGGACCACTGGTCTAGA